TTTGATCACTCACACTGAGGATCCTGGAATAAGTGATCTCCACCACTCAGCAGGCTGGTGAAGGAGAAGGGCATCTGATCAGGATTCAACAAGTCGTCCAATTCAAAATCATTATAGCCAGCTTGAGGACCGCCACTCTGGTTGAAAGAACCGTTTACCATACCCGCATCTGAAGTAAAGTTTCCATTGACCAGCTCCACATTACCAGTGGTGGTTCTGATAACTGGTGCTAAAAGAGAAGCTGCATTGCTCCTACCCAAAAGATCTCCTCTCTCACTATTACTCCTGGCTTGTGCACATGATCCTGCTAAGCCATTAATCATCCTATTTCTGTTGATCACACCCTGATGACATCCATTGTCATAAACCTCATTTTGATCCAACCCCTGCACTGCGTAGTTAAGATCTTGTACAACACCATTGTTGCAAAATCCACCATTTGGAACCCCATTTAGATCTTGTTGTATCACTCTCTCATCAACAATCACACTTGATCTACCTTGCATGGGTTTCTTAGGTGTAATTGGAATCCAAGAACCCATGAATTGAAACTCCTTTTGAGTTTGATTCTCCAAAGGAACCCGGAAAAACCCATCACCAGGATTCATACCTCAAACCCTTGTCACACTACTGATGCATCACCCCAAAAAAATCTTCACTAATTTTGTTCTACCTAATCACCTAACTCTCCCCTAACTTGACGAAATTTCTCTCCCCAAACATCAAAAATCAGGCTACAGAGACGAACACTGGCTTTTAATCTAATTTTGGGCGAATCAAACTAAGAATCTGCACCATCAAATGCAGTAAATGATTTTCCCAGATATTTTCTCATCAAAACCCAAACGAGAAACACATTGAATTGATGGAATCAAGAGATAATAAAATCAGAAACGCAAAAGAAGAGTGAATAAAGGAGACATATATATGTGTGTGTGTGTTTGTATGAGAAATGTTTCTGGGTAATTAAGGAAGATAAAGCAAATCTGGGTTTTTTATGACCGGAGAATCAAATTTTCAGGTGTTAAATGGCTGAGATTATGATCAGAAAACAGAAATATGAAATTGATGACACAGTAGATCTTCTTGTGATCCGGAGATGTAACAGCTTCATTAGTAGAACAAATTCCAGATAAAAAAGGGAGAGAGAG